TTCTATAATCACTAAAATAATTTCAAAAAGTTAATAAGATCGAAACAAGCATATACGAACTAATACTCTTACTTGTAATAATCTACCTTTTTTAATGCCGTCTTTAATTATTATTATTCTATTTTATATTGCCATATTATTCTTGTTATAAGACATTTTATTAAAAATAATGTTAGATGTAAATTTTTAATCCGATTGTGCAATTGGATCTTCTGATACAATCTTTATATTTTTATTAGCTGTGCCAACATCATCATCCCAACCGAATGTAACAGCTGTTACGGCGAATCATGGTCTATGGGCAGAAATTCTCGAAAATTGGATCACCCTTCAATCCAACAATTCTCGTACCGCACGAGTGGTGAAGATTGATGATAAGACTGTGACAGTGTCGACCAAAATTGCCACATCATCAAATAGAGAGGTTTCCGAAACCGATCTTTATCTACTTGGTATGATTTATAAGAAATTTAAAGGAGAATGACTTGATAATTTCAATCAGTATAGTTTATAGTAATTGCAACAGTTACCCAGATAACATGCTCGTCTAAAAGACATATCTTCAAGACTTCTTTAAGATGTGCGTGTTATCTGGGTATATATTTAAAAAATGAAATTCAAGTCTTAAATGAAAATTTACAGGTGCCATCGAGAAATTGGTATACCGAGTGGATCATTTAGAAAAACGAATAAAAAGAGCAGAAGAATTGTTATACTACATTATTGCAGGAAACAATAAAATGAAAGGTACAATAGCTGTAGTAAACAAATCATTGATTTTGATGTGAGATAACGATCATAGTCGAGGCATATTACATATTTCTTCTTTTATGCTGCACATATTTGAAAGGCATCAATTAATTAAGAAAGGCAATTTCTTATTTACGAACTTAATATATTTAATCGATATCGTTATTTATTACTGCTATCGCTTTTTCAGTACCCTGTCCTGCCAATTACACGAGAATGGGCAAGAACTGCTATCACTTCAGCAATCGTGATTTTGATTGGAAATCGTCGGCCAGTCTCTGCCGCGGTATGGGTGGGCACTTGGTCGAATTTGACTCGATCGAAGAAAGCCAAGATGTAATCGCGGGTTTGATGTCGGACGGCAAATTGAGGGGCAAGAATTTCTGGACAGGTGGCTTAAATCCAGGACTTATATGGATCTGGGCCTATAGCGCTAGACCGGTTCAGAAAGATACTAAACAGTCCGTTATCGGGGACGGCAAGTCAGTATCACCTTAGAATATTTTTACATAGATATAATAGAATAGAATAATAATGGCATACATACGTTAAAGGTCTTTACGTAGCATAACAATACATTTTACCGATGTCGCAAATTGATCGTAAAAAAATTACTTGTTACGCTTATGGTGAACCAATACTTACATTATAAATATTTCAAATTGCAGATGTTTGAAGTTAACTTTCAACGCATCGTCGAAAATTTACTCGTATAGAGGCGAACATTGCGGCGCGATGCAAAGATACATCTGCGAAGCGACAACCGATGACGAATCGGCAAACAGAATCGAAAGAACAGCACGATTGTTGATTGATAAGAGTAATTAGACGCGTTTTAATGGTGGGTAGAAATAGAATAACAAAACACTGAGAAATTATATTTAAACATATGTCTTTAATTTATATTATAAACCTTTTATAGTAAAATAGTACAGTCACCTTTTTAATTATAGATATGTAATATATTCGTAGATTGTCTTGATTGGGTTCTAACTACATGCAGATAGCATTTGAAGCAATTGAGATAAATTCGTTTTGCATTTTGCAATTATAGCTGTATGGTCGAACTAACATTTAATTATTTTTATTCTTATTCAAGCATTTATATTTTTCTGAAAGATATCGCTCTAGCAGCACAGTGCATTGACCTAACTATTGACCCAATACAACCAAAAATTGGGCCAATGTTTAACCAATGTTTGGTCAATGCACTGTGCTACTAAGGTCAATTTATCAAATCTAAAAATTACGCTTAAAACGGAATAGAAAAGGATTAGAGGTAAAGAAATAGAGAAATCAAATTGTAAACTTTTACTTCTTTGTTTCTGTTATCTATTATTACAATAATTGATAATAAAGAAATTATTTCTCTTTCCTTCTACCTCTAATCCTTTTCTATTCTATTCTACTTTAAATCTAATCTTTAAATTACATACCTGAGATTCAACAAATTAGTCAATATCTTTCGAAAAACGTTTATACGCGTATCGTATACGAGATTCTCGTTACTTCATAAACTTCGCGGCGTGATGTGCCATCACCAGGCTACGCTTGCCTTCGTTTACCAAGGACAGAACGCGATCGGTGTGCGTCACTAGGCCGCCATTTTCGGTAATTAATTTTTTTGCAACTGTTACACCATCGGGTTTGACGCCGCGACAGCAATCATCAATCACGGCCAGCCGATAACCCAACCGCAAGCCACCTAAACACGTATGCTTCACGCATACGTCATAGGCGAGACCGCAGACGTACAAGTGTGTGGCGCCAGCGGCTGTCAAAATTTTTACGAGTTCCGCTGGCTTGGAATCATCTGTATCTTTCTCAAACGCTGAATACACCTCCTTGTCTGACTGCTGACCTTTATATATCTTAAGTATAGAAAAGGAAAGGATATTTTGATTAAATGCCTCGATTAAATGCCAAATTTTCTCTTATATCAGATGTACGTAAACTTAACAAGATAATTTATGGAGGTATTTAAAGAAGTATAGGAATTCATGCACCCCAAATAATAGTTCAAAAATATTGAGGAAAGATAAGATAGCTAGGGGCTTGTCTGATAAGGATATCCATCAATTTATATGCATACGTTAATATCAATTGCTATGCAGTTTTAAATAATTCAGAATTAATAAACAATCTTCAGTCAAAGGTGATGACACAGTTCTCCATTACCTTTGCCGTACGAAACTGATCTTACCCGTTCGGAAGAAGGCAATATCAGCAGATCTTTATGCAATTCAGCACCCCAAGTGTTCTTAACGCAGTGTCTTGGCCAGAGTACTTGTGTTAAGTGAGGTTGCAAGAAAACAACCGTGTCGAAGAGCTTTGCCTTTTCCTTAGTGACCTATTTCAAATTATAGAATTATCTTAGTTTTATTTCAGACTGTAGGGGGTTACAGGTTAAATCTATCTCAGATAGGATTTCTTGTGGGTTTAGGGATTTATAGGATTTATGGGGTTACAGGTTAAATCTATCTCAGATAGGATTTATTGTTTAAATTCATAAAAGAACATCACGAACTCAAATGCGCTAGTTAAACGACAGAAAAATCCAAATGCCATCTAAAAAGAATATCGTTCAGGATTTTTTTCGACATCTCTATTTGTATTGTACACGCAAACATACACGGAGAGAATTCTCTCTTAAAATTCACCCTGAAAATCGCGCAATCGTGGGACAATGTGGCATTTTGAAGAACTTTATGAGAGTTTTTTGAAAATTCGCCATACATTCTACCAGTAAAATGTATACTAAATATAATTACTAGCGAAATGTATGGTAAAATGTATGGTAAAATGTTAAAAAAAACTCTCATCAAATTCTTTGCAATGCCGCGTTGTCCCACGATTACAATATTTTCCGGATAAATTTTCAAAGAAAATTCTCTCCGTGTAGAGATATAAAGAATGTCGTAAAGACGTCTTTCAGACGTCTGCGTACTACCAGAATAAGTAGCTGAAATGTTTTTATGTAAAACTATGCTTTATATGAGGGGATGTGATAAAAAAGTAGCAAAGCAATTTCCAAAACTAAAATCAAACTAAAACGTTAACATTTATATTGCATGATCCGAAGTATTTTATTAAATCGTTTTACTATCATACAAGCATGTGTATAAATACCTTAGATTCCGGGTGGAGTTCACGCAAGGCTAAATTGTCAAAGAAACTGATGTGGTCCTCGGGATGCCAATCATGCGTATATACCACTTTGTCCCAACGGCCATCCCTCAGAATCCGATTAATTGGTTGTATCACTTCCAACCCTTCCTGTCCGTGGCCGCATTTTCTAAGTGCCAGCGCGCCATCGATGAAATCATTCTGTACATCGACGACTAGCAAAACATTGACGGGATTTATAGTCTCATTTATCCACTTGCAACATCTGCAACGGGAATTTATTTATTGCGAAAAACAATCCGGGCTTTTATCTGTTAGCAATTCACTTTCAATCCGTTATTCGTATATGAATAGAAAAGTTCTCTTTTCACCTGTAAAATTCAACCAACGGTTTGGAAAATAATTTTATATTAAATTAAAAATTGTATATATATATATATTACTTTTAATTTAATTATTTAATTTATTTTATTTAATTATTTTCTTGGCCGAGGTCATATTTTTCGCAATAAATTTCTCTAATTAGAATTTGCCAGTTGTGTAGTTGATTAATTTTCCTACGTTGGTTAATTATTTTCTATTATATGTGTGTATTTGACATACCGGATAAATTCTATTCGCTAGTTGCTATTTAATTATCTCAATATTTTATATCAGTGTCGTACATAGCTGTTATTGAAATACATATAATTTCTCGTTAAATGATAAATAAGCAATTGAAATATTAATATTCGTTTAACAGATACGTCCGTCTTTATAAAAAAAAGTCAAACTTACATTTCTTATGCGCGCTACTTTTTTATAATTTACATTTTAATATTAATTTATGCATTGATATCCCAATTATTAATTTCCTAATATTGTGGAAGGAATATTGGTTATTCTATTCGCTATATATGTTAATTTTTCTTCTCCATGAACGAAGCAGTTGGATCGATATCGGGTATTTCCGAGACGCAGGAGGCATAGACAGCTAAAGTGATGTATATTGCATCACTTTTATGTCTGAATTAATTTTTCGGAGAAAACGAAATGGAATACCAAATATTCCGATTAAGTAAAATTTCGTAACAGGCATTAAAGTTTCCGTGAAGGCGAGCGGGGATAAAAACAACGGAGATTCAACGATTTCTGAATGAAATGTTTCCAGCCAGTTGCGTTTAGCTAATTGCATTTATTCTTCAATTTAAATCCGCACAAAAAATTAATTATCCCCGATAAATTATTTTCGAAACTTCAAATGCGCCCTCCCTTCTGTACGAAATATTGCTTCGTAGTTGGCGGGACTTTGTCAAAATATAAATCTTTGAGGAACACATAATCGAAGAAACCATTATCCATCTTCGATATCTCTCTTTCACTTGTTCGTTTGTTCTCGCCTCTTTTGTCCTCTTTTCTTTTTAACAATTTTAACCTACGAATTCGATCAACTTTGACAGCAGAATTTGCGCACGCATCACCTATACAATTCCTGGTCGTTCAATGCGCCGTCCGCGTTTGCGTCGAACAGCTCGAAGACCTCTCGTGCCCTCCACTCGTGCTCCCCGACCTCGTCCGCGCCGAACAACCGGCCGCAAAGCACTCGGAACTTGTCGTAGTCGAACGTTCCCTTAACGTCAATATTGAATCTCGACAGTACCGTTACCGAAAACGATCGTGGGTCGTTGTTTGCCAGCTGCGCCATGTCCAACGGGTCCAATGTCAGGCCTCGCACGTCGCGGTGGCGTTATTTACGGCGGTATGGCGTTTGCACGACTGTCCCTCCGATTTAAGTAGACCCGATTCTTATTTGTTCCACCAGTATCTGGAGTGGAAGTGACCGGTTGGCCAATCAGAAAATAATCTACGCTTCAGACATAGCACATGGACCGCGTCAGGTAGTCAGGTAGTCGGGGTGGACGCGTTAAATACGGTGGACGATCGATACACGGTCGTCACGATGCCGCCGACACGGCACGCAGTCGGAGCTACGAGCGGAAAAAAGTGTCTCTTTCAAATCCCTTTTACGAGTCTTATTTCTTATTCACGTCTAATGGCGCGCGGTTTTATTACCCTTATGAAAAAATACACTCAATTATACGTTGACGGTCCGAAATGACCATCAAATTGAGTGTAAACCTTCATAATCGAGTGTTTCATGAAGGTTTACACTCAATTTGATATATGGTTATTTCGGACCGTCAACGTATGATTAAGTGTAATTTTTCATAAGGGTATTTGATAAAAATAATCTTACATACTTTATGTCTTGACATCCTGTCGCAGTCTAATACTCCGATAACGATTGGTAATTCTGATAAGGCGTCAGGAGCATATGACGACATTGTGAGAATCTGAGAATTTGACGTATTAAACTTATCGATATTTGTATTGATATTATGATAAGTCGCCAGTGGTAATTAAAGGAGATAATGCTGTCGTCGACCAATATCGATATTTATTTTGAGAAACAATTCAACATGCGTGTCTTGTCTGTCTCCGTCTTTTCATAAACGCAATATCGATTCTCACAATGTCGCCATTGTGCTCCTAACGCCTTATCATAATTACTAATTTACCTCAAGGGAGCTTATTATTGTAATTAATACCTGACAACGATGTTTCCTTTCCATAGAAGTCTTTTCCAACACTGGCGAAGTCCTCTACATGTAAAATCACGTTTTAGATACAATCGTGCTATATTTCAAAGTAACCTTCAGTGTTAGTATAACACAGTCCGGAATTACACAGTTGTTTTTAGTTTCTTTCAAAGATACAACGATGCGAGGCACTGAAATATTTATTTCGAATTTTCTACATTAACTCAATTTTGTATCCTCGATTTATTTCTTTTTTCGAGTATTCCATACATTTTTACACACACACAAACCTCAACTTCGCTTATCTGCGCTTACTCACTTATGCTCTAATAGGATGAAGCGCAGATAAACGTAATCCAGACCTGCATTCCTGTGTTTGTAAAGATCTAGGTAAAGAATCCGGAAAAAAGATAAGTTGGAGATAAATGGAATTAATGTAGGAACTTTCTTACAAAGATTTGAATACATGTCGCGCATCATTATGCCTTTGAAAAAATGTATATGTGACTGCTCCCTCAAAGGAGTAGATACGGATAGCTAAAGTTTGCATTCGTGAGTTCGTAAAGATGATTAAGGCCCGGTTTCTTAAACTTATACAATAGCAACAGTAAAAATGACTCTTCAATGCAGCGATACGACTACGACAATGCTTCCTCGTTACGATTACAATTTGCTTTTTGTTATGTAAAAATGTCTCTCCTCTATAATACCTGCCCTACCTTCTTCCGGCTGCGATAATACGCCTACGTACAATTTATACATATACTTATATGTATTGTACGAAAACTACTATTCACTTTCTCTCATTGTTTTCAAATGTATATAAATTATTTTATTTGTAAAAATCTGTTCAATATTCAATTCATGTCGATTATTATGATAACTGTCTGAAGTTAAATGTCTATTAAAATTTTAAGTCAATGATGTGTGTCTGAACAGCAAACATACACTGATATGTTGGGAAAACTTAAGCGTTTTAAGTAACAATATATTTATAAATAATTGACTACACATATTTAAATTACTCTCTTTATAATTGCATTGTTTTTACTATTGTTGTTTATCATTTATTAATCATTGTTAATCCTAATAAATTTCTTTTAGAAATTCATAATAACTTATACCTTTTTCATCGTATCTCGTATATGTCTGTACATTTATAGGTAACATAGTATACATATCAGGG